ATGACAGTGCAGTGTGAGGCTCGAAGGAGGTTGTTCAAACTCCTACCGGTTCAGCAGACGGCGTCTGCGAAACCAGCTCATCTCCAGCATTAAGCCTGTTTCTCAGAATGCTGCTTTTTAAAAACACTGGTTTCTTTCCACCTTGCATGAAGTCTTCCTTCATACTTTAAACTTAAACTTGAAGTTCAGGGCTCAGAATCTGGATGTGGGGAAAACCCCACCCCACCCACTGCTGCCAAGTTGATGAGGAGTCCATAGAGCCTCCGCGGCTGTAAATCTCTATGGGAGCACACTGCCTCCTTTCTACACCCTTGGAGCAGCAGATGGGTTTGAACCACCAACCTTTGGGTTAGCAGTCGCACACTTAACCAGGTACCTCCAGGGCTCCTCTAGACTTGGGATGTAGAACAATAAAAATGGGACACCGTCCAGAGGTCCATGTGGGATTGCCGTGGCGAGCAGGAACAGCCCTGGCTCAGCCGTGTTGGCACAGCTTCGGTGCTCACGACTCCCTGTTACACTTTTGTCTCGCAGGCAACTTCAGCAGCAGCAGGCGGAACTGGAAGTGCACCAGCGAGATGGGTTGTCATCGTATGACTTATCTCAGGTGAATTTCGTGAAAACTCTTTCCCAAATAGAATGGCCCCCAACCCAAAGTGGGGGAGACTTCAGCACTGGGGCCTAAATCCAACCCCAAGCTTCAGCCTCTCCTCCCCAAGGGTGCTCCTCCTCCATCCACCCACTGCAAGGCAAAGAGCATTTAGATCCCCAGTGGTCAACTGTGACTCTTCCAAGCAGACCTGAGCCAGGAAGCGTGCAAGGCATCGGAAGACCCTGTGAAGAGCAACAGAGCTTAATCAACCGGTAGTGAGAATCCCAAAGGGGTCATGGCCATTTCCAAAGGCGCTGTACACTAGCACAGACATGCAATCCAGACGTCAGCGCACTCCAGTCTTGACAAGCTCTTTCAGACCTCCGACTACTCTCCGGCCTCTGAGCTGTGACCCTCTTTCCCTCCCGCAATGCATCTCTTTCTCCGCGCCCTCTCCCTGTCTGTCCACCTCACTGACTCCGTCTCCTTTTCTTCCCGTCTCTTTTCTCCCCCACTGCCCGCCCCTTCCCCTTTGTCTCCTCACTGCCTCTGAGAGCGGGCCACAGAAAGAAGCGGATGCACGGGTGCTATTCGGTCTCTTCTCTGGGTCCCTTGAACTGTGGATTCCCTTGACTTGGTATTTAGAGTGAGTCCGTTACTTTTCATCACTCTGAGAAAGTTAACTGTGGGACTCCGCTGTCCTCTCTGCGGCCCGTCATGCACACCTTCCACTGGGGCTGTTCTGGATGTTTCTCAAGAGGAGGCTTCACAACGTGCATGGGGAACATGGAACTCAAAAATAGTACAGAGTTGCCCCCTGGGGACTTTCTGAAGCCCCCATCAAATGAGCCTCTCCTGCTCTACGAACGGTTTCAGCCTGAAATGCCAGCGAGGCCTGCAGGAGGCTGAGGGGTGTTAGGGACGTTGTCAGGGGCCTTACCGATGGATTGTTGTTATATTTGAATACACACACAGGTCCCAGTGCCCAACCTGCCAGCTGGAGTGCACGAGGCCGGGAAGTCCGTGGAAAAGGCAGATGCAATCTTTTCCCAGGAAAGGGATCCCCGGTTTGCTGAGATGTTTGCAGGAATAAGTGCGTGTAAGTTGCCAAGCCTGGGAAATGGTGGTTGGACACCGCGGTTGGAAGGATGTGGGCATCCCAGTGGTTTTCAGACTCTCCGCAGGGAAAGCTGAGGCTGTTTGTTCCCATAAGGAGCTACAATCTCGAAACTCACAGGGGCAGGTCGCCCCCATCTGACCGGGCCACTGAGGCAGGACCGACTCGAGGGCAGCGAGTGTGGCGTTGGGCTCAGGCCAGAGGTGGAAAAGATGCTTTGAGTGACAGCTGCAGGGTGTCAACTCCAACTCTTGGCCATCGAGTCCGCACCCACTCATCGTGACCCTCTAGGACAGGGCGGGACTGCTCCTGTGGGTTCCCAAGACTCAGTACTGATGGAAATAGAAAAAACAATCTCATTTCTCTCCCGCAAAGCAGCTGCTGCCCTCAAACGGCTGACCTTGTGGTTAGCAGCCCAGTGCCTAGTCCGCTACACCCCCTGGGTGCCTGCAGGGTGTAAAAAGACCACCAAATGAATGGGGTCTCTCTACTGGTGGCCTGGTGACCCAGGGCAGGCACCACGCCTTCCAGGGCCTGACAGCTCATCCTCAGAATTTAAGGGACTGGAATAAACCGCGCTTCATGCATTTTATTGAGCTAGAAACATGCTTCTGGTTTAAAAGGCAAAAAACTCAAGCTATAACAGAGAGAGGACCATCTTTTAAAACAAAACCGTCATGAAATGGCAAGTGTGAGGAAAGTGAAAGATGATCTAGTATCTTGCCATCTACTATCACTTATGTCTTCTGTGAGCTTTTCTGCACACATTTTCTTTCTCCGTGTGCAACCGAGCACACACTGGTCACTGACGTTTCTTTTCATTCCTTCGACAGTTTGTTTGGAGTGTATCCCTAAGTCACTACAGAATCTAAATCGTGTTCCCAGCCTGCATGGTGTCCCATTATAGAGAGGCCCCTTATCTACCCAAACCCTCCTTTACGGTCACGTGGTCGTCGTGGCTGCCAGGGTCACTGTTAGAGAAAATGAGTCCTGATTGAAGACAACCCATGGAGCCCGCGTGCACTAACTGCCTCAGCCTCCTGCTCAGATCGCCACACACATGATCAAAACATGAGATTTGAGCATGTGTCTGTCTGTTCCAAATTTCAGAAAAAGAGAGCATGTCCATGTGGTCAGAGAAGGCCTACAAAGTGCCCTATAGGCAGGGTCACGTAAGGGTAGGAACCAGTTGACTCATGAGAGGATATGTGGACGATGTTGTAGAACCCTAGTGGCTAGGGGAACAGGCTGTGGACTAGACTGAGGGGAGGGCTGGCAGACCTGTGGACAGTTAGGAGGAGAAAAACCCAATCTTCCTGATGCCAGCTGATGAGGAGGGACCCCAGCCTTCGTCCCCACGTGGCCGTGGACAGATGCTGAGAAGCAAGGGACGCTACTGGAATTCAACCCACCGTGGGCAGGAACCACCTGCCTAGCCCGCGGGTCTGGCAGCCAACACCAAGCAGACAGTAGACCTTCTACACAACAGGGGAAGCTCCCGCGCTTAGTTTCCTTTGCCCCCCAAGCCCACCCCAGTGCACCCCATGAACACCACCAGCCTGGTCAGTATTTCTTTGACTTTTACTGAGAAATAAGAGTTTTTAAACCACCAAAAGGAAACCCAAAAACCTTGACCGAAGACCCCCAACATGGTCTGGACATAACCCTCTTCCCATCAAGATGGGAAATAAGAAAGAAAGAAAAAAGATAGTGAACAGACGAGAGAACTAAACGAGGGATGAGTCGAAGGGCAAGCCTCCTGCTCTGAACAGGAGCGAGTGTTTAAAGACAATGAGGTTGAGCGTTTGCGAAGTCTCCCATGTGCCTTCTCAGGGAGACCCCAGAGGCTCTCGGCGTTACATTCCTGAGAGTGAATACCCAGGGGCTGCAGAGAGGGGGCCTGCTGACCAAGTGGAGTCAGAACTAAGCAGCTTTAACGTTGCGAAAATCCAAGTTAATGAATTGAAAAGGTCAGTTATGTGGATGTGCCCCGGATGCAAAACGTGGGCCTTCTACCTGTCCAAGAGCTCAGTCAACATCAGGACCATGTCTATCCACACATAGGCATGGGGCTGGTACAGTTACTTTTTTATAAATCTCGGGAATTAACCATAAATTTAAAAGTCCTACCAACCCCTCGAGCTTAGTTTTAAAAGATACATTAGCAATGAAGCAAAATCTTCAATTGGATCTCTCCAGGATGCTGTGTGCCAGAAGTCAGGGGGTGGGGCAGTCAGTGGCCCGAGAGTCCAGAGGGAAATCCTTGAGATGAAGCCTTTCCACCAGCCAGGCTGTCTGTGTGTGTGGACAAAGGATAGGCGTCCTCAGAGAGGCACGGGCTGGGCAGCTAAGCTGTCTGGGTTCACTTTGGGAAGGAATCCCTCGCAGAAAGATGACGCCTGTCTGCAAAATGAATTACAGTGCAGAACGTAGGAACAGAGGGGAGAGGGTGGGAAAGCAGCAGGGGTAAAAAACGCAGCCACTGACCTCTAGGATTGATATAAAAGTGATTCGAAGATACAAGCCCTATGAAAAACAAGTTAAAACCAGGCTCTCAGATCTGAAGTCAACTGGGCAAAGATCCACCACATTTTTTGAGTTGGGGGTGGTGTGGGGGATAGTAAACAGATAGATCTGTCTCTTCTCTATTGTTTTATCCTTGACAGTGTAGAGCAGGGGCAGGGAACCTTTTTTCTGCCAAAGGCCATTTGGATAGCTATAGCATCATTCTCGGGCCATAGTAGTCACACATTTAATTAGCTCACCCCCATCAGATGATGACATGATGCCCTTCTACACCATGCTGGGTAAAGAGAAGGGACAGTAAAAAAGAGAGAGGCCTTGACCAAGTAGATTATTGGCCCACTGGGTGCAACCATGCGCTCACCCACAAGAACACTTGTGAGGCTCGTGCTGGACAAGGTAGGGTTTCACTCTTCTGTCTGAATTGTTGCTAACAGTCAGACAGGACCCCACAGCACCCAACGACAACCACGTGGTGGCTGGAACTGCTTCTCATCGGTGGGTCATGTGACGTTAGCTGGTTCTGATGATTTCTCGGGCTTTATATTGCCCAGAAGGAACCCTGGTGGTGTAGTGATTGGCCCTGGAGTTGCTAACCACAAGTCTCCTCATTAACCAAGCTCCCTGCTCTTGCTGCCCCTTCCTCGCCCCCACCCAACCACCACCAAGCCAGGAGCGAGGTCAAATGTGGGGTCTATCTCAGCACAACATAATTTCTCTTACTCAAGCCCCTCATTGGGTGTGGAGGATTCAGGGGGTTATACGTCTAAGTCAAAAGAGTCCTGGAGGTGCAGGGGTTAAACACTCCACTGGGAACTACAAAATGGACTGTCTGAGCCCCCCTGAAGCTCCGAGGTGGTGACCGCTTGGAGACCCAACGCAGTTCTACTCTGTCTCCAGAGGCACTGTGAGTCAAAATTGGGAATTAGACAGAAGTGCCCAAGTGTTGCAATGGTTAGTCAGTGCACTTGGCTGCTCACCCATGTTTCCAAGGCTGTCATCTCTGTGAGAGCAGACAATTGAGTTTTCTCTCCCAGAGAGTCCCTCGCTGCTGGGCTCAAACTGCCCATCTTTCAGTAAAGAGCTGAGCATGTCACCACTACACCCAGGCTTCCTTTCACACAGCCTTAAAAAAAATGCCCTTGAGTTGATTCCAACTCATAGCGACCTTATAGAGTGTGAACTGCCCCATAGATTCCAAGGCGGCAATTACTGCAGGGGCAGACTGCCACTTCTTTCTCCAGAAGAATGGCTGGTGGGTTCGAACCACCGACCCGGCAGCTCCTGTCCCAATGGCTTGGCACTGCACCCCCTGATGCTGCCTTCAGACAGACGGAGGCACCACAGGTTCAAGATGCAGTGAGAGCTCCCGGGGTGGCACTGCCTCTGCTGTCCAGTCAACTGTGCCCATCAATCTCCAGTCCCGGTGTCTGAGGCCGCCACAGAAAGCAACCTGCTTCCTCATGTCAAGTCTGCACAGCTCCACCGGGACGCCAGCCCATGGCTCCAGCCGCCTTCTGCAGCGAGACAGCTGAGCTGAGCTAGCGTTTTGTAGTGGCAGACGGCCTCCATCGTTACACATCCTAGCATGTGTTTGGGGGTCTCCAGCTGCCTGAGAGGCTCCATCTCTCAAAGCATCCATTACAGAAGGCCAGGAAATGGAGGTCTGGGGCCCATCGCAGTGCCTGCGGGGGGAGGACAAGCGGGGCTGTGGTAGTTCTGGAGCAATGGGGCAACACCAGGCTCGGGTACCGCCTCAGGGCTCTCCCTGACTGACTGGTGGCCTTAGCTAAGCTGTGCTTCTGTACTCACCGTTGTGACAGTACTAATCATACTCTCTGTTCTTCGTAAGCACTTCACTTAGGTTCACATGTTTAGTTTCCACGATAACCTGTTATCTCCACCTTCCCGTAGAGGAACCTACAACTCAAAACCTCACTGCCATCGCGTTGATGCCGACCCCTAGAGAGCCTAGGACAGGGCAGAACTGCCCCAGTGAGTGTCTGAGACGATAACTCTCTATGAGAGTAGAACGCCCTGTCTTTCTCCCTCAGAGCGGGCGGGCTGGTGGTTTCAAACTGCTGACCTTAGAGTTAGAAGTTCGACGTGTGGTCACTAACGCCGCCAGAGCTCCGGAGGAAGCTAAGGCAGGGTTATATGACATGCCCAAAGCCATGCAGTTGGGAGGTACGGCAGAAGCGGGGTTCAGAGCCAGGGAAGCTAGATGTCAGGGTCTGTCCCCTGCACTGGTGTCCTGTGCTTCCTTCCCCGCTAACTGAAAATGGGTCATCCCCTCTCACGGGCTGGGAAGGAGTCGATAATACAGTGTCCGAGGAAATACTCCCATTCGTGCCTTTATCTTCCCAACTCCCAGAAGTCCCTTCCTGGGAAAGAGCAGCAGTGCCTTGGAAAGTGAGGCATGGAATGACCAGGAATTGCCCTCGTAGGTGTATGCCCAAGAGACTGGGAAGCAGGGGCCCAACCAATGGCGAGAGGGAAAGCCTGCCACCTTTTCCTTCTACTTTTCCACACACTTTCTGAAGCCCCTTTAGAGTTGCACACCCAAGCCCACTGCAGCATGATTGGCCATAACCACATGGCCGAAGGAGCCCTTTGCCCAGCAGCAGAGGACAGGCTCAACAAGAGATGGTGTAGACTCACCAATCCGAGACCACCCTGCTCTGTGGAGTCCGTTCTCATCAGTAACCCTCTAAGACAGAGTAGAACTGCTCCTTGGGGTTTCCAGCGCCCTGCAGAAGCCGGCAGCCACGTCTTTCTCCTGCAGAGCAGCAGCTGTTGGGTCTGAATGTGCCACGTTAGGTTAGCAGCTCAACCATTGGCGTGAACAGGTTCCTTTTATATCCCCCGAGTGGAATAGTATTCAGCCGTAAAGGGAAATGGAATTCTACTACATGCCGTGACACAGGTGAACCTTGAAAACATTCTTCTGGGTGGAAGAAGTCAATCATAAAAGGACAACTATTACCTGGTCCCACTTAAAGAAATACCAGTGTTGTTATCTCAAGTGCCACGAAGTTGGTTCCAACCCACAGCTACCCTCTGCGCAATCGAACAAAACCCTGTCGGTCCCGAGCCATCCCTACCACTGTTCCTATGCGCGGCCCGCTGTTGCAGCCACGGTCCCGAGCCATCTCCTGGAGGGTCTTCTTCTGTTTCGCTGCCCCTCCACTTTACCAAGCATGCTGTCCTTTTCCAGGGACTGGTCTCTCCTGACAACACGTCCAAGCATGTAAGAGGAGTCCACCATCCTGGCCTCTAAGGGGCACTCTGGCAGAACTTCTTCCAAGACAGATTTATCTGTCCTTTGGGTGGTCCGTGGTACCTTCTATATTCTTCTCCAACGCCACAACTCAAATGCTTCAATCGGGCAAATGCCTAGAGACAGGGAATGGATTAGTGGTTAGCAGGGCCTGAAGGTAGGGGCAGA